TATATTTTGACTTGCGTTATAAGTTATTCTTCATGAGAGTGGTTCAGAAGAAATGACCCAATATTGTCCATTTCATATGTGACATAAATCAGATATAAATATATTACGTGCCAGATTCGACTATATTGTCTATTTCCTTCACTTTATAAGAGAAATGTGATAATTTTTGGAAAATATTGAAATGTGCGTTAGATACTAGGTATGGTAGAAGTAATCCAATTCGTCACCCACTTCAGAAGGTGTCTATCATCTTGACCCCAGATCGTGCGTTAGTAAAAAAATATTGGGATGTGTGAAGTTTTAAGAGAGACTGATCTGCGTTTCGTTATTCAAAATTCGTGGGGGAGGTGCCAGAAGAAGAGGACAATCTTTATACCACATATTGTGTAAGTAAAAATATTGGAATGTGTGAAATTTGAAGATTATCGGAAGCTTATTTCGCATTTTATGAGAGTTATATTTATTCAAAATGTTGACGCATTGTGGGGGAGATACTTGATGGAGTAGGCAGATATTTTTGCACCTGATCTAACTAATATTGGGATTTGCATAATCAGATCATCAATCAGATGGTCCTTTCTGAAGTAAAATATTTTCTTACAAAATTTCAACCTTTGTTGGGGGTGGTGACAGAAGGCGTGTAGCGATATATCTCAACTCCAAACTCGATGTAAGTTTGAAAATAACATAAAGATGTACCAAGTTTGGAATAAATCGAATACTCTCTCCAAGAGTTATAAAAATCATATAAAAACACATATTTTTCGATCGCGAGGTCAGTGTTTTTTTATTTATTCAATTTATCCAATACTTCGCCATTGGATTAACCTTTTATTTGATATTAATGTCAGGACTTTCGATGTACAAATATTAATTAAATTAAAATGGAATTATTTAAATTAATTACAATACATTAGAATAATTAAAACTGGCCAACTTTTTGAAAAATGTATGAGTGTTTTTTATTTATTTTATCTAACAGCCGCCTAAACATATGCTTTACTTTTATATTTACATTTTCATATTGAAACAAGTAAGCAAAGGCTACGGTCGTGCGGGGCCGACCATGTGATACCCTACAACACTACAATATGTTAGCAGCCCCCTTATGTCCAAATCCATTTTGGAAGATTTCGCTTTTCAAATTATGTCACGGATCACTGCCCAGATATTACCCTTAGTATTTTGAACAGGGTCATTTGTCCAATATTTACGCACATCGTCGTGCTCTTAGTTGTTGTGGTCCATATTACAGCTAAATATAATTCAAGGGTCATCCAAAATGCTAGAATTCTTCCCTGTTCTTAATTTTTTTCTCAGGCGTGTCGACTGGCTTCAATTGTGTAATCGTTTTTTTTTTTTTTTTTTTGTTTAATTTGAACCCCTAAATATTTTGAGATCATCTCCAAAAACAAAGGGCCCCTGTATCTCCACTTTTAGACCCATCTATATGATTTGCTTATCTACGATATTTGGCTCTATTCGCCAACGAAATCAGAATAAAAAAGCCAGAACTTCGCCTTTTGTGTATTTCGGATATTGACTGTAAGTAATGTTGATATATTTTCACACAGAAGTAGTGGTCCATTCTACCCGCTGTCCTAAACATCTTTGAACACAATAGGCCTATCCCTTCTGAGCCTAACCCTACCCTTGTGAACATTTTCGTGAGGATCGGACGATACCTGCAATCTGTATATAATAATCGCAACCTGTGTTGTAGGGTGAAAAATATTACAAAATATACACTTCAATATTATAAGTCAAATGAAAAAATCGCGCGCGATACAAATAGGAAAAAATACAAAATACAACAAAATCTATATTAGTATTATTATTGGCATCTTTTTAAAGATTTTTTTTAGATTTTATACTTTTATTCCAAGAGGGCATTCTAAACTGACAAAGTTTGTCAAAATCGGTCCAACCATTCTTGAGATATAAGCATTCTAGCTAACACTCCCTTCCTTTGTATGTATACATTGTATATATTTCGCTATATATCCCATATATTTATTATCGGCATCTACGTAACGGTCAGAATTGACCCTTTCGTTTATTTGTGATTTAGACGGGATTAAAAATATTCGCTGTTTTTTTGAAAAATTTGACTTTTATTTAACACAAATGTGATGGACTATTTAAACTACTAAATATTACCCGATGACGATCCAAATTGAAAGGCTTCTGTGCAGCCCTAAGCTCTAGCCCCATGCTAACTCCGGCGTCGATTGGTGTATAACTGCGACCTGCAGAGCAACTGTAAAATCAGAACATTTTTAAATGTTTGCGATTATCTACAAAAGCAATAGGCTTCTATTCTGACCATAACCCCAACACCATTTACAATTACATGAGGATCGGGCCATAATTGCGACTTGTAGCGTGATTACAATTAAACATGGACATACAAAGCTAGATCGACTCAGCTCGGCGAGATAGGAAGTTCCATATATACTTTCCTATGTGGGAACCAATGTTTCGAGGTGTTACATAATTTTTGGGCCAATCAAACTTATAATACCCCCAACACATAGTGTTGTAGGGTATAACAATATAGAGTTATTCCATACGTCAAACTATATTTATATGTAAATGTTTTAGCATAAATACGCCACTCTTCGGTCTCCAAGACCGAATTGGATTGGCTTATGAGAGTATCCCTTTAATTTTGCCAACATTGCATTCTGGTTGAACATTGCAAATAGTGGGAAAAGGAATAAGAGAAATAGTAAAATGCTAATTTTGTATTTGATCTTAAGCCAAAATACTACAAAAATCGATAATATATCTGTACATATTGAAAATCAAAATTTAATTAATTTTCTTTAAAAATCGTTGATTTATTTTATTATTCTGTTTGTATTAGTTTAAAACATACTTAAACTATCAAAACAATTTCTTAGTAACAATTTTTTTATTTATTATGTTATTTGATTTCCAAAGAGAGTTTAAATGCCTATTTATTTCGTTTATGTTAACATTAATATTTTCTCGATAGTATAATTATAAAAAATAGATATGGAAGTATTATTTTAACTAATAAGAACTTACTGTAGATAACATTTTTGTAAGCGGGAGAAGAGAAAACACAACCGTATCGTCTGGCTGTTGTTTCAATTCTAATTTTATTTTTAAAATATGTTCCTTACGTACTACTGAAACTAATCTAACTTAACCTAGTCGCAGCCACACAATTGTTCTTATCTATTATTAGATTTAAAAGGAAACATTACATGGCTGCGTGTCCCTTCATTCAAGTGATCTTGGCTACCTACTGGCGCATCAATATCTGTGTGTGTGGGTTATGACCTTTATTATCCTACACATTATCGTATGCGACAGCGCACAAGATCACTGAATTGTACACATGTGATATTTTATGACCACTGGGAAATTGACAATTTTTAAATATTTATTTTTAATGGTTAGATTTTCCCAGCGCCTCAGCCGCACTCAAAAGTATGTACAAAGTATTTTGTACATTCTCCCGGGCGGCTTAAATGTGTATATTTTTAGTGGACTGTATTTAAAAATGGATCATGAAGAGGATTATATAAAAAATATTTAGACATATAGCTTTGAAAATGATTATATTATATAAATTATCCTAGGTAACCGCTTGCAGGAAACGGCTCCACTTATCTATCCAGCCTCGCTCGCCAATACCACCACCCTTATCTGCCGGTTTTAACTTCCAAGCTTTATAATTCTTTGGCGACTTGTGATTTGGTAGTTGCTGGCTGCGATCATCCAAGGAGTCATTTTTTCGTAGGGCATCCAAGGTTAGGTCATTGCTGATGTATTTTATACGCGGTTGCTTCAATGAGGATTCCCGGTGTTTGTTATTAATTCTATTCCTCTTTACCTTGTCGCGCTCTTTTTTCTCCGCTTCCTCGATGCATTTATCGTTATCTTTGCCAAACGTGTCTTTTAGAGAAGTACCAATATACACCGGATTTCTTTTTTTGCTCTTCTCTTGTTGGTGGTTCTGTTCCCTGTGGCTTCTCAAATTCATATTGTCCAAGGACACTTTTTGTACATGCTTGTCCATTTTGTCACTGCTGACTTCCTCTGATGTGTCGAGTTTTTCTACGATGGCTTCCAATTTTTTCTTTTGATGTTCCAGCTTAGCTTCCAGATCTTGGACTTGGTTTTCCAGGTCACGCCGTTGCTTTTGAGCTTTTTCTTCAATGGCCTGTATGTCTCTTTCAAATTTAGTTAGCAAGGACTGCACCAAATCTTCAAGCCCCAGTTTTTCATCATTAGCGGTTTTCAGGCCATCTTCTAATATTTTGATTCGGGAAGCTGATTCGGCTAATTGTGATGCAGTATTGAGTCTTCCCTCTTCATTATTTTGGGTAAGAGCTCTAACTTTTTCCTCCGAGTTAGGACTTGCCGGCGGGAATATATTCATATCCTCAAAGTTTCGAGCTGCAACAAAAACACACCAGTCACATTCGCAATCATGTGGATAAAATAGCCAATATCTTCTAGCCATTTCAAGAGTGTCTCGATCACCAATACAATATTCCGCTTCTCTTTTATCATCCAAAGGGCATGTAATATCACCCTTTGCATCTTTTCCACAACTTGTGGTCTTCGAGGGCCTCTGCTCTGTTGTCAGCCCAAAGGTGGGAAATACAATATTTGCACACTCCTCAGCTTCCATTGCTACTTCCTCCGGACTAAGGAAATAGTACTCCAGTTCAATTCTCCAGGGTCCTGGTGGTTTTAAGCATTCTTCAATTTCCGCTTGTGCAGTATCTCCATTCAACTTGCAACCTCGTGTTCTCGTCGCCATTAATTTATGCGCTAACACAAGGCATTTATCCACTGCTACTGAACTTTCCTGGATTCTCTGAGGAATGTACTTTTTAAAACTTTTCAACGTTTGTTGTAAAACGTAATACGTGTTTTCAACAAGAATCTTATACTTGTTCACGTTACGAATTTTTTTAAATTGAGTCGCCGATGCCAATGTTGTGCAGAAATAGTCAGCCAAGACCAAAAATTTTGCTTCTTGATCCATTTTTTTTTTTTTTTTTTTCGGAATTCTTTTTGAGTTTTAACTTGGACTAATTGATGTCCTCTTTTCAAAATTTATATTTTTTTTATTTTGGGACTTTTGTTGTCCTCTTTTCGTTTTATTTTTATTTTTGCCCCTATGGCTTTTTTTTTTTTTGTTTTTGCCCCTATGGCTTTTTTTTTTTTTTATTTTGCCCCTATGGCTTTTTTTTTTATTTTGCCCCTATGGCTTTTTTATTCAAATTAGTCCCTTCGGCTATTTCAAAATGCCCCTATGGTCTTATATTTAAAATGCCTTAACGGACTTTGTTTTTTGTAGAAATTCTCCTCTATTTCTGGAGAATATCTATTTCTGCTTGTAGTGAGTCTCTTACCACTGGTGGGGGAAAACTCCTACAATTTTTTTACGGCCGCTAGTTATTTCCACTTTATAAAAAAGTGAAGGCTCGATTGACCATATGTAAGCGGGAGAAGAGAAAACACAACCGTATCGTATGGCTGTAGATTCAATTCTAATTTTATTTTTAAAATATGTTCCTTACGTACTACTGAAACTAATCTAACTTAACCTAGTCGCAGCCACACAATTGTTCTTATCTATTATTAGATTTAAAAGGAAACATTACATGGCTGCGTGTCCCTTCATTCAAGTGATCTTGGCTACCTACTGGCGCATCAATATCTGTGTGTGTGGGTTATGACCTTTATTATCCTACACATTATCGTATGCGACAGCGCACAAGATCACTGAATTGTACACATGTGATATTTTATGACCACTGGGAAATTGACAATTTTTAAATATTTATTTTTAATGGTTAGATTTTCCCAGCGCCTCAGCCGCACTCAAAAGTATGTACAAAGTATTTTGTACAATTTTTAACTTATTTAAATATTACAATGCAAAATAAAATTCTTAAATTTAAATTCTGAACAATTAAGGGGGGTTTGCGTTACATTAATGGTAAAAACAAAAAATAAAATATTTATTTTTGCAAACGGTGTCAAGAAAATTGTTATCCGATACTTGTTTGCATCATTTGTTTTTATTTTTTGGAAACTTTTTTTTTTTTTGAACAATGTCAGACGACAATGGTAATCATAAGCAACTAATTAGCATTGAGGATGATAATAATTATGATGGTGATAATGATGATAATGAGGTAGACAGACTAGCGTGGCAATATCGTTTACTCCGTCTCTGCAGGTCCAACGATATTCCTAACGAAATCTGTTTCAGCAGTGGCGACATTGACAGCAGCATCGATGAAAAGTGAAACTGAAACTGTTTATCTTTGGTTTTTGTTGAGACACTATTAAAAATATATGATTTGTTTTTATTTTTCTATTTCTTCGCTATTTTCCCGAAAATACCAACAGCAATTGGTGGAAATCGCAAACAAAAACACATCCCGTTAATATTTTGTCATCATTATTAGCTTCGAACAGACGTCCATTGCCAACAGATGATCATAATGACGATCGACGTGCCAGCTTCGGGGGGCGACGATGATGACGATGATGTTGATTCACTTCGCACTTTTCCACAATCTACTTGGAGTAGTATTTCGAACGACGCCAACGATTCACAATGCTGTTGGCCAAAACGAATGCAAAAATGGCACAGATTAGCTGAAACAGAAGAAAATGGAAAAATTAATTAGTTGAAAATCAAAATAGAATCTACAGTGGTTTACTGGAAACATCGTTAATAAATACAGTTTTAAATTGTGTGTCGTCTGCTACCTCGTTAGCGAAAATTTGAATTATTTATAGATCTCTAAACATAACCTATCCTATATATCCACTGTGGCGTTTATACAAAAAATCATAAGTCTTCCTCTTTTCTTTTACTCTGTGCTACGTATTTTGAAGCAGATGTCCTTAACAAAACAATTACTATTCGCATCGATCCTAGTTAAAATATGCACATTTCCAGGTCTTCTCCCATACTCCATATCAAATTTGGTACCACTCTTAAAATTCATAAATCCCATATTCATAATTTCAGTCCTATTCCTACACTATACACCAAAATGAGCGCTTTTCTCACCCTATATAGTATTTTCCAACCCCACCCCCTTATCCAAATGCTACACACTTAAAGTCATCTCTATACCAAAATTCACAACTATAGCTCTTTTTCTGCACTTTATACCAAATTTGGTACCATTTATTGCTTTTCGTTCACTAAATAGCACGATTTTCCACACCTCCTTCCTACAAACTAACAGTGACATTCCAGTCCTTTTTTTACACTATATACACCAAATTTCGTACGATTTAGTTCTTTTCGTACGCTGCCTAGTACGGATTTCCAAATCCACCTATTTATCTATACGCAACACCCTCACAGCGACATCTAAACTAATATTTACCATTCTAGCTATTTTTCTTAATTATATACTAAATTTAGAACTTTTCGTACACTATGTAGTACGGATTTCCAATTCCACCACCTATCTAAACGCTACAAACTCACAGTTATCTCTTATCAGTATTCATAATTCTAGCTTTTTTCTGCACTCTATACCAAACAAAGTACCATTAAGTACTTTTAGTACACTATTTAGTACAGATGTCCACTACACACTCCCAGTGACTCCAATAACAAAGTACATAATTAACAGTGATAACAGTGACCCTTAATCCAAATTTCAAAACCCAAGCACTATACGTTCACCCAATATTAAATTTGGAACCATTTAGTACTCTTCATATACTTGTAGTACGAATTTCCAAAATCACCTCTTTATTTTAACCCATTGTACCTTTTAGCACACTTCTTATCAATTTCGAAAACCACTTCCTCAACTGTTCATCCCAAATTCATTTCTGCCAAATGGCACGATGTTTTCCACAAAATACCAAATGGTACCAATTTTATAGCTTTTTAGTACTTTTAGTGCACTTATATATAGAAATTTCCAAAAAAACTTTGGATCACCTTTCCTACATTCGATCGGTGACCCTCATTCCTAATTTCTTTCTCTATCTATTTTCCTAATAGGATGTACTCAATTTTCAGTACGTTTTAGTTCTCTTAGTTCTGATTTCCAAAATCCCAGTCTTTCTTCATTCCTATACAAAAACATTGATCTACTTGAAAAGTTTCGTTTCGCCTGGACATTGATAAATCAGTCCGTCATTCACTCATCTCCCTTATATATCTATATATCGGATAAATATGTCTGTTCCAAACAAAATGTCCGTGTAATTTTTGCTTGAGACGAGCCAGTACAGAAGAAGTCACTAGTCCTGTTGTCCTGCCTCGTTTTAGGTTCTAGTGGTGTCTTCCTTTGTTTGCATTAAATATGCACTTATAATTTAAATAGTTTGTGGTCGCTACATAATTTGGCGCCCAACGTGGGGTCAAGGAATAACAAACTAATTTTATTATTTATTATGTTATTTATTTGTTTTTTATTAATTTTTTTTTTTTTTGGTTTCATTTTCAATTTTGATATTTTTGCTAGTTTTGAACTTATTTCAGATGGGAGCTATACAATTTTTAATACAAATTTTAATATGGCTATCAGAGTCCCAGTACACCGAACACGACATTTATGTATATCCAAAATTGTAAAAAAGTGCCATAAATATTAATTTCTTCATTTTTAAACACTGTCGATATTTGTAATGTCGTCATGACCACCCGCAAAAATAAAACATCACCAAGGGCGGAAGAGCCAAAATTAGCCGAGATGTTTGATGATTCAATTTTATGCTACAAACACTATGGCTTTTGGTGTTTTTCATTTCAATCGCAAACGTGCCCACAAATAGCCAACTACATACACACACACACTCGCACACTCGCAAAACACTTACCTCAATGACAACGTAAACAAGAACGAAAATATTCAAATATGTCCAACTTTCCGTAATGAAATCCACAAATTTCTGGCGACAACCATCCGTGTTCAGTTTGTCAGTCTTCGAATCATAACAACTGTGGGGTGGCAGATGATAGTCCACGGAACCACTGTTTCCACAACAGCTCAACTAGGGACGGAATACAATAAATTGTCGATAAAACAAGGTAATAATTTGTTATTAATTTTTGAAAAGCGGTAGCGATCAAAGACATCCACCACTCTCCAAAAACAATTTGCCACTCTAAACTTACCCAACGTTCAATATTGGCAATATGACTGCCATTTTCAGGTTTAATCGGTGTTGGCTGGTCACGCCAAATTTCATCGAATGCCTTGTCTGCGTTAATCAAAAACGACGTTTGGAATATCCAAAAGAAGCCGAGGATAATTACATGCGTTATGGCCAAAATAACGACAATCAAAGCAAACTAAACGACAATAAGGAAGTTGTCCCAATCGGGGCAAATTACGTCAATTAAATTAATATTTTATTGTTTAATTGTTATCGCGATGTTATTTTTTTTCAAACATTTTCATGTCATACTTACAATTTTCAGAAGAGTGCTCCGTTCGCGTGCTGCTCCAACAATGCCCACAATGGTAAACAACAAAACGAGAGATCCCATGCCGACCAGGGTGTAACCCACGGTATCGAATCTTTCAAATTTGATGAGGATAAAGGCTCCAAGCACGATCAGAGCTATTGAAAGGATCTGAAAAAGAAGCGAAGGAAGGAATGATAAATAACCAGTACGCAAGGGCTATCACATTATTATATTATGAGTAAATTTTCTGAAACCCTTTTAAATAATTATTTGGCAATGGACTGGGTTGGCTGGGTTGTTTTCTAAATAATGTCTAACATCTTGCAAAATTCGAACGTTCCATAATTGTATGACTGGAGAATCAAGAGTAGATTCTGTTTTTACTTTATTTCATATAAAAAAAACAATAGGTTTCTATGCCATGGATACCAAAAAAACAAGGATCGGGTCATAATTGCGACATGTACAGGGTGAGACGAAAACACTGCAACCAACTGCAGACTGATGTCATTTCAAAGCCACTCGTCCGACAGCTGTTAAAATTATTCCAGTGACAGCTCAGTGTATTGTTTACAAGCGTACAAAAGCATTTTGGTGAGATTTTCCAGAAAAAACGTTTTTCGTGATGGAATTCAAGAGTGATAGTGTGATTTCTTTATATATGGCAGGAAAACAACAAGTGGCTATCGTTAGAGCACTCCAGCATTTAAATGTGAATAAATCTTTTGTGTCTCGTACCATCGCTCGTTACCGTGATATCTTTTGCTTTCATTCAATAAAATAAAAAAATTTAAAAATTATGGCGTTTGACTTTGTAGCAGTTTTTTTATCTCACCCTGTAGAGTGATTAGAATCGATCATAGATAGACGGAGGGACTGGTACACCCGTCGGACTCAGCTTGCCATACATTATGATCGGAATGCCGCATGGTGGCTCAACAGCAAATATTTTGAGTTGCTCAACAACAAACTCCTGGACTAGATTTATGTCAATCTATTTCGATCGAACGAACTAGTCTATACCTAGCTCCGTGGACTCCGATGGTTTCTTTGAAAACTCTACGTATGAGTGATTTGCATTTTTTGAAATCACTCATACGTTCAGGAGCTGGTGTACTGAACTATTCTGGACCAAATCATACTTCGTACATTCTCTCCAAAAGATGAAGTTAAGTGTAAATATGAGCAGGGAAGTGGACACGTTGTCGTATGATTAATGATACTACTCATACACCATCTATTTTCAATGGCATGCCAATTAATTGTTTGAATGAATCAAGAGCGAAAAAGTGAGAACATGCAACACTCAGGGCTTCGGAGTCGTTGTCACTTTCTACCACCTGAGACATAGTCGAAATTAAAGTCAAGGATTAGGTGTATATCCCGAAATAGCCAAACGTGGACTTATAAATCTGCATAATATAAGCTTTGACGTTCTTAACTCATAATCCAGAAATAACCAAACGTGAATTCATAATCACGAATATATATAATGGATGTGGCGTAATCGAATTTTAATATAATCATATTATGACATTTTTATACCCTACAACACTATGTGTTGGGGGTATTATAAGTTTGATTGGCCCAAAACTTATGTAACACCTCGAAATATTGGTTTCCCACATAGGAAAGTATATATGGATCTTCCTAGCTCGCCTATTTGAGTCGATCTAGCTATGTATGTCCGTCCGTCCGTCTGTCCGTCTGTCCATGTTAATTTGTAATCACTCTACAGGTCGCAATTATGGCCCGATCTTCACGAAATTTAGAATGGAGGTGGGTCTGGGGTCAGAATAGAACCCTATTTCTTTTGGAGATGATCGCCAAATGTTTAGGCGTTGAAATGGACCATATACTGAAAATATGTCGGATTTTACAGTAGCTATACAGGTTGCAATTATAGACCAATCGACGCGGAATTTCGCATGTAGAAAGAGTTTAGGGCGGGGAAGAAGCCTACCAATTTGAGTGGTCATCGGATAATATTTAGCGGGTAAAATAGACCATATCTTTTGTGTTGAAAAAATTCAAAATTTTTCATTAAACCGCGAATATTTTAAATCCCGGCGAAATCACAAAGCCATGACAAGGTTACTTCTGATCTTTACATTGATGTTAACATCCAACAAAACGGATATATAGCAAAATATGTGCGATAACTACGTTTATCAAAGAAGATATGCTTGAAAAATCTCTTATATGTCGAGAACGGCTGCACTGATTTCCACAGTTCTCATTAATTCAAAATGGCCTCTTGGCAGGAAACAAAAAACGTCTAAAAAAATCGCATAAAAATATCTCTCTAAAGAAGAAAATATTGATTTTGTAAAATTTTCTCATATTTTTTCAATTTTGTCATATTTTTGGCATATTTTCATTTTGAATTAAACATTTGGTAATATTTCTACAGCTAACAAAACTAAGTAGTTAGGATATCAGGATATCATATACAGATCGCATTTATGGCCCGATCCTTACGAAATTTTGCATGGAGATAAGATGAGGGTCAGAATAGAAGCCTACTCTTTTTGGAGATGATCGCCATATATTTAGGGGTTGAAATGGACCAAAAAACTGCAAAATTGTCTGCAGGTCGTAATTATCGCCCGATTCTCACGCACATTTGAATGGGGGTTACCGGACATTACAAAAGCCAGTTTTGGATGGCCATCCAAGAATATTCAATGTGTGAAATAGTTTGCCAACTTTTGAAGACAAAATACGAAAATGTCCATTCCATTGACTTTTTGGAGAATTCACAAATACAGGAAAGACGCACTTCTGACTATTTCGTTAATGCTGATTTCGTTGAAGAATATAGTCAAATGTCTGTATCTCATATAGATGCGTTTCAGTCAAAAACCAATAATAAATGTTAATCTTTTGCCACTTCTGAGAGATAAATTGGAAATGAGCAAATTAGTTTAAGTTGCTATTATTCGAAAATTAGAGAACGGAACCTGATGGTTTTCTTTTATTATTTGTCACAATATCTTGTGGAATTCTTTCGAGTATCTCGCCTATATAAACTGTATGGTTTATTATAGTGTTGTAGGGTATTCAACGGTCGGCCCCGCTCGACTGTAGCCTTTGCTTACTTGTTTTAGTTTAATTTCTCTTCTTCAAATCAAAAACCAGTAAAGAAAGTCTTAAAGTCGGGCGGCGCCGACTTTATGATACCCTACACCACTTTGCTAATTAAGTAGAGCTCCACATAACAATTAAAAGTTTCTATGGGAGAATTCAATCATACACGCTATGATTATAATTATAATTTAAAGTTCAAAGGACTAAATTCGGAATTGTATTGCCCATTTGGTGCACAATTAATTTGAAATCGGATAAAGATATATATGGGAGTTATATCCAAATCTGAACCGATCTCGATAAACTTTGGCAACGATATTTCTGAGCTGTATTTGATATATTTCCCTGAATATCGTTGTTACAGAGTGCATATTACGGTTGTGGGTACCAAATATAACAAATCGGATGAATAATATATATGGAAGCTATAACTATATCTGAACCGATCTGAACCAAATTTGAGATACTAGCTACTAGACTCAATTGGGTCGTAAGTGCCAAATTCCATCCCATTTGGACAAATATTAGACGTTTGGTGCACAATAAAAGGTAAATCGGACGATGTTATATATGGGAGCTATATCCAAATCTGAACCGATCTCGATAAAATTTAGCAAATGTATTTCTGAGCTGTATTTGATATATTTCCCCAAATATTGTTGTTGCATAGTGCATATTACGGTGGCGGTGGACAAAAATAACAAATCGGATGAACAATATATATGGGAGCTATAGCTATATCTGAACCGATTTCGATCAAATTTGGCATACATATTTTCAGGCCTAATATGGGTGTATGTGCAAAATTCCATACAATTCGGGCTGATATTACACGTTTGGTGCACAATAAAAGTCAAATCGGACGAAGATATATATGGGAGCTATATCCAAATTTTGACCGATTATCTCCAATTTCAATAGGGTTCGTCCTTAGGCCAAACAAAAGACCTTTGCAAAATTTCATCTGGATCGGGCAATAAATGCGACCTGTACTTTGTTTACAAAAATACATGGACAGACGGACGGACGGACGGACGGACGGACAGACGGACGGACGGACATGCATAAATCGACTCAGAATGTGATTCTATGCAGATCATCAAAAGGAACTATGGGTCTATCTCGTTTCCTTCTGCCTGTTACAAACAAATGCACAAAGACATAATACCCTGACCACCTTGTGGTGTAGGGTATAAAAAAAAAACTTCTACTTGTAAGAATGGAATTTGTTCGCATTTCAGAAAACAATTAACTGTTCAGTGTCGAAAAATCCTTGTAACAAATTTCTTTGAGAACAAAATTCAACAACACAAATGCAATACATGCAAATTATCTCATGTCGAACACCAACGAAAACAACAACAATATAAAAACAAATCGTAAAACTATTTCGAAATGTCTTGTCTTTTTAAAATAGACAACAACATTAAAATGGGTAAAATGAAGTGAACATCTGAGAGCACACACATACACTTATTATCGCGAATATATATTTGTAATCGTTTAGTTTAGTAAAAAAAAAAATGATATACAGTGGAAATAGAGATTTCTTTAGTGACATATACGAAAATTTGATAAATAATAGTTTTGTCTATGACATCATCCTGCTAAAATGATGTTTTTTGGACATTTTTGAACAAATTCACGGAAAGCACGACTTTGAACCTAAAACGTGTTTTTTTAATATATGAATTCCTGACGAGTAGATAAGATTTAGACTCTTCTAGAACCTATAGTAGAATTTTATGACAAATAATTTTGACTTGCCACGATCCCGTTTAAAGGAAGTTTTTAACGATATTTAAAAAAGGACAAAAAAGACCCCTTCGTTGACTCACTTGAGGGTTAACCTTTTCGACCAATATATTTCCCCAATTTTTATTGTAATATTGCCGAAGACACTATATATACCTACTTCCCCCACCCCTATTTTGATTACTTATCGATATAAGCTTTCAAAACGCCGATACACATGTCTTATGGTTTAGCTCCACTTTCATAATCTTCTGGATTTTCACAATAATTATTAAATAATTTTTTGCCATTGGAGGTAGTATCCATAACGAAATCCATATACC